ATTTCCAAAAATGTTTAACTTTGGAGGGAAGAACCATCCTGAACGTGGGTGACCATACCATGGGTTGGTGTCTTGGACTGAATAAAAAGGAAAGAAAAGGAAGCCAGCAGCGTATCAGCATTCATCTGATCTGACTGTAGATACCATGTAACAGACCAATGCCTTACCCACCACAAACTGTCCCCTCAAGCTGTGAGCCAATCTAAACCCTTAGGTTGCTTTGGGCAGGTTGTCTTGTCACAGAAACAAGTCAGTAACACATTCTCCTCCCCAACTTTGAAGTTAATTAAACTCAAGGATGGAGAAGGGTAGAAGGCCTGGGGGAGTCTTTCTTTGCACAGACAGCTCCCCAGTCCTCAGGGAGTCACAGGAGACCAGAGCCTAGGAACCTGCTCCAGCTGGCCTGTGACTGATCCATTTACTTCTGTACTTGTGACCTATCAGTGGCCCGTGGGATCCAGTTCCCTTAGCTGGAGGGCTCTAGGGATGATCAGACTTCCTTGAGCTCTCATGGGCAGCAGTCTTCTGACTGGACTTGGGTCTCCTGGAGTCTAGTCTTTCTGGGTTCAAGACTAATCCACTGGCCAAGAAGTTGGACTCTTGAACTCCTGCCCTTCAAACACCCACAGCTGGGCTCCTCAGAGTTACCCTTAATCCCCAGGCAGCTCTTATGCCCCTCAGTCTAAGGAATAAGCCAACTGCCTAGCAGAACAGCCTCATCTCAGGCCAGCCAGAACATCCTAGGTCACCAGCAAGTGCTGGCTTAGATCCCAGAAGAGTCCAATGCCAGAAGGCGCAAACCAGAGACTGGGTGGGAGAAACGGGCAAAACACCGATTAAACCCAGCAGAAGAACCGAGGGTTGGGGGAGCGAGGGACAGGGAAGGTGAGCTCTTAGCTGAGACTTAGTGCAGGGACTGGGGCTGGTCAGTGTCTGTACAGAACAGACTGTCCAGGCAGAAAGAAAAGGAAGAGGAGGGTGGATTGTCAGCCCAGTGCCTGCACCCATTATTTATGGATGTTTCACTTGATTTGTGAAACCTGGGCTCAGCAAGGAGACTGAATGTCCCTCACGGCCGCTCCTTCCTGCAACAACAAGACTGACATCACTGTTGTCAGGGAAATGGTGTTTTGATTAAAATCATGTGACAGCTACTTCACGATTGAATAAACAAATCCACTGTTAACCCTCGCCTGACAAGCTCGCCAGCAGCTGTGGTCAGAGTGCAACCTCTACCCAGGAGGGTGTGACTATGCCAACCTAGAGGGAGCAGAGTCTGAGAAGCGGCCCAAGCTGTTTGTTCCCTGGCAGGTCCTGCATGAGGAACATGAGTCACCAAATACGAAGAAGACCATGCAAGCTTCAGGAGACTCTCTCCATGGCACTGAGGCAACACCCACCCTTCACCAGGAGGAACCCTGGGCTGTTCTCTTGGACCAAGCAGCAGGCACAGCCCTAAGACATCAAATGACTCCCTTGGGGCTTTGAGGCCAGTCAAGAACTCGGTTCCCAGAGTTCTCAACACCCAGATACTCTTTCCCGATGAGGACAGATGAGTGAGCTGGCCATGCATCAGAGAAAGGGGTTAAGAACAATTTCTGGTTTGCAACTGGATGACTTCCTGGATCATTCACTTGGCTGTGGGCCCCCATCATGAAAAACTCTGCCTGGCAACAGGCAAGTCCCCTTTCATTTCACCCCCAGGACATTTGCTTTAAGTGAAACAAAGCAAGGAAGGCCCCGAGTCACAGAAAGGGGATTTTGTGGGTGAAATGAACTGTGGCCTCGGAGGATTAGCACAGCTGGCTTCTAAGGAAGGTTCCCAACCACCTGAAATGTGTCCACGGTAAACATGGTCTGCAAAGGCATCTGGTCAAAGGCCTGACGAGGTATCACAGTAACGGGGGTTCAAGGAATGGCAGCTAGTGCTGTTCTCAGCTGGAAAGCCTTCTTCAGAGCAGACCAAGTCAGCTGGCGGGGGGGTGGGGGGGGGGGTGGGGGTGGGGGGTGGGGGTGGGGAGGGTGCCTCCAGTGGTCAGCTCAGCCCAGGTAATTCTCCAGGAGTTGAATGGCAGGACCAAATAGTCCTGAGCAGGTTGGAAAACAGCTCCATTACCACTTAAGAAGTGTGTGGCTTAGGCCAGTAAGAATCACTGTTCTTACTACCCCAGGCAGGTCTCTTCCCTCAAAGAAGTTCTAGAAGTAGACAAGGGGCATGAAGGGCGGGCACCTCAGGCTGCTGAGGCTTTGTAAGCAGCAGTCAGCTGGCACGTTCTCCCACCAAGCAGCATACAAATCCCCTGGGCTGCCTGAACCAGAGACAGCTGGGCCACCCAGGCAAAGGACAACCGTGTGCAGGGACAGAGAAGGGCGAGTGTTCACAACAGGAAAGATAGCATGGCCTCCATTTACATCAAATGACAAGTCAGCTGATTTAAAGTCAATCTTTTTACCAGTGGTTTAACCATAAAATCCACTGGGGTGGGTATGAGAGCACCAGCTTCTGTCAGTCACTGTAACTAGTCTGACGTCAGCACTAGGTAGCCCAGGCTCTCCACTTCTAAGTCATAACCACCCTTCTACCACTGGCCACAGCTGGAACCCCAGTGATTGCTGAACTGAAACTCTGCATCCCTTTTCCATGTAGTTGTAGGAGACAAAATGGGCTTGTAAAACATCCAGGAAAACATCAGGCATAGACTCTTGACTAGAAATGACTCCCTACCTAAGTAGAACCATGCCAATAACTTTCCAACCTGTGTGGAAAGTGTACCAGCTCTTCCGTTCTACCCTTTTGTTGCATGGGTATTGTCTCAGTCTGAGGAAGATTCCAGAGACCTCAAACCACAGGAATGACTGACCTCTGGAGAAGACCACCACTTCACAAAGGCAGTAAAACAGAGCAATACTTTAAAATACACTCTGCAAGCCCTGGAGAGGCTCTCTCTCCAGGCCAGTGTGCTGGGAACTGCTTCTCGGCCCGCCTGGCTGCGACTCCTTCCCTGTAGCACCAGCAAGCTCTGCTGCCTCCCCTCAGCCCAGAAAGGACAGGGCTCTGGCCCCAAGTTTCTGGGGCACTTACCTTCCCAGTGTCCTCTCCAGGCACTCGGGGTCTCAGGAAGACATTCTTGTCAACCCCAGGGACGCTGGGCTCTTCACTGTCCTTCACAGGAAAATCTAGCTTCCTCAGCCTTTGGGCCACCACTGGAGATATAGACAGCAACGCTGTCACTGTCCCTGACCAGGGCATGTCCCTCCCAAGCCCACCTGTGCTTCCCAGCCAGGATACCCTCAGCTGCCCTGGCACCATGATGGCCCAGCGGCACACAGGGCTCTGGGCAGCTGTGCAGAAAAAGCCAGCCCTTGCCAGTACTTTAACTTAAGGTGCCTTTTTGCTCAAGAGTCACCCCCACTGGATCTAACTGGGGGTTCCTCCACATCATGGGTAGCCTGAACAAACAAAAGACCTAGCTCCTTTCAGAACTGATCATAGCAGTTTAAGACAACAGCTCCCAAGAAAGAAATGACTTGGCTTTTCTTCCCAGTGAGTAATTAAGCTCTCTTCATCCTCCAAACGATTTCCATCTCAACTGAACATGATGTCATTTCCTGGAAACAGCAGGCCCATGGAAGCAAATGAGGAACAGCAAGGCTATTCTAGGTACAGAAGAGGACTAGAGATTTGTGAAGGAACAGGAGAGACAAGCAAGATCATGGCTCGAAGAGGGAGGAAACAGTGAGAGAGGGCAGCAGCCACGTCACCTGTTTACCAAGAACACCGGGTGGCAGGACCTTGTGCACCTGACATCCTGGGAGACAGTAAATGGCAAAGAACAGCACCCCAGGGACGAGGGGGAGGCTAAGCACCCAGCTTGTCTGGCTGCCCTGCCCCACACCCCCAGTGTGATGGACCCAAGGACTCGTGTAGGGAACACCAGGCTTTCGGCTCAGGGACACAGCAGTGTCAGGAAGACACACTGTCTTCCTGGGTGTTACCCAAGCGTCCTGGACACTTAGACAAGACACCTTGGTCTGGCTGTCTCTTGAATAAGGACAAGCCCTCCAGCAAACACACTCCCCAGCCCCGGGCCCACATCAGCACAGTCCAGCTTGGTACTTCTGTGACCAGAAGGGTGTCTTTTATTTTGACAAAGCTTCATTCAAAATCACACATTACGCTGTTTGTCCTTATGAAACAAAATCCCTCTTTGGGCTCCTGTCTCATTGGCAGCACAGTAGACACACAAGATCTACTATTTGAAGCTCGTGATGGGTAAACCCCGAACAATCTGTAGAAAAAAAAATCACTAAAAACTCCACTATTAATGGGGCACTTTTTAATTGACATGGGATGCATGTGTTGGTTTTGGCTTTACTTTCCTAAAAAGCTGAACAACAGTTATAAACTGCCCAGATGTAAACAGCTTCAATATATGTTCAAAGCAACCAGATAATTCCAAAAGAATCATTCCTCAAGCTGGGCATAGTGGCATGTCTTTCATCTCAGCACTCAGGAGGTAGAGGCAGGGCCAGCCTGATCTACATAGAGAGTTCCAGGACAGCCAGGGCTACAGAGAGAGCCTTGTCTCAAAAAAGAAAAAAAAAATCCTGGGGGTGGGGACTGGCCTAAGTCAGAGGCTCTTACTTCCTAGGAGCCAAGAAATCTCTAAGTTTATCAACTACAGAGTGAGACAGTCTGGTGGTGACTTTGTTCAACACATCAGAGGGCAGACCTTAGAATCACTAGTGAACAGGTTTTTAATAAGCACCAACAATATACACCAGACACTGGTCTAGGCAGTAGTGACACAAGACAAGACAAGACAAAACAAGCCTGCATCACGGGGCTCTTGGAGAAATCAAGTGTAAAAACGAGTATGTAAAGAAAATGCCCAAATTGAAGCTCAAGAGCAGTTGCTGTGCAGGGTAACACAAGAAGTTCACTGTGTACATCAGAACGAATAGTGAAGCCTCTAATGGCCACCCAAAAAAACAGATCCTGCATGCTAAGTGACCTTTATTTGAGAAGTCAAGGGTCCACTGTCTCCCTTCAGTAGTCTTTGGCAGAAAGGTAAAGGCACAGGCGGGGTGGGGTAGCAGGACAGGGATGCTTTACAAGTTCATTCTCAAATGACTGCAGCATGTGGCATTTCCAACCAAAGATGAAGCAACTGTCCCAATGCACAACTGTTTCCAAAATCAAGACAATAATCTCTCAAATTTAAAACTCAATAAAGAGGAATACAGCCAGCAGATGACATCAAAAAAAATTAAACTATAATGTTTACAGCACAGTCATTTAAGGCACTAAAATGAGAATCTTTTTACCTAGGAAAATATTCAAACCTTCGCCCTAGAACACATAAAATGGAAACTTACTACAAAGTAATCCGGCAGTTTAAAATACAGGCACACGATCTCTGATAGAAATTTTCTGTTCTGTTTTTCTAAGGTATGATAAAAGCATTTACACAAACTTGGTTTTATGTAACTTATGTTTAATGTACAAAGTTTTGTAGGTATCTTTGGGCCTTCACAAAACAGAACAGGGCTTGTTATATCTAAAAGAGTTTGTAAGTAAAATCAACAATTCAGAAACCAAAATGGAAACACCAAACTACATGAGATGCACTGAGAAAAACCAGGCTGCAGGAAAACCTCATTAACTGAGTCCACTGGAGACAAGGAGTCTGTTAGATGAAAAACATTTACATTATCCAGAAGAGTCATCAGAAAAGGTGTGACCTGTCAGAGCTGCTCACGGAAGGAGTGTGTTATAACTGACCAGGGTCATTGGTAATCAGCATGCCCACTGATGAGCAGGTGCTTCTAAAAAGTGTCAAGCAGCCTTCCATAAACAGTTTGCTTCTGCAAACCCTTCAGCTCTACCTACTACCTTAAATTTCAGGACAAATTAATGAAGTTTTAGTGCAAAAGTATAAAAATGTTCCAGCCTCAGTGATACAAGCAAACACTGAGCAGCACGACTTCAGTTTGGTACTGTGCAGCATAGCAACGGCAAGATGCTAACGTTGCTGGAAGCAGAACCAGGACCAGTGGTTCCTACACTTACTGGAAACACAAAACTTCACAATGAAACAGTAGAACCATAGCTTAGTAGGAGGCACTAAAGTTTCTTATGAGTTTTTGAAGGCAGTCACAGTGCTGAGCCGTTGAAATTGATACCTTTCAACATCACACATTAGCAGCAAGATACACCCACTTCAGGCTTCTGCATGACATGATTACAGTCAAAACTGAGCAAATGAAAACCAGAACAACCAATACATTAACCTTCCATGTCTCCTTTCATGTGAAACACTGATATGGACCATTGTAACCAGAAAGATGTGGATTTGACTACAGTCAAATGTCAGTGTTGTCTCCCAAGTGGATAATTATAATAAGTTATTCTAAACCATTTACTTTTAACATTGGAATGCTAGAGGCATAGAGACAAGTGTAAACAGTAAGAGAATCACTCCACTCTGTGTCGGGGTCCAAATCCATCCAGGCTGTCTGGAATCTTAAGTGGCTGGGGCCTGATTCAAAAGGGAGGAGGCAGGAGCCTCGATGGTGCTGGAAAAAACACTGGGACACTCAAGGGGTGACTGAGCGAGGGAGTATCAGCGACTGGTCACTAAGAGAGCGTTAAAGTTATCCCGACAGAGAAATAAAATCAGTCTCAGTTCATATTTAGAAAGGATCAAGTCACTGAAATCTGATTTCTTCTAAGCTGGTGCCATTTGCTTGGATGAGATCTTGAAGGGTTCCATTTTTCTCCACCCAGTGTAAGAACACATGGACTAGAGATCTGTGATAAGAACTTAGTAAAGGCTTTTCCCTCCTGTTCCTCTTTATGCCAAGGCAAGAACTGGAAAATTCCAAACAAAATCATGTTAGTGGTACAGAAAGTTCATGAATGATTGCTATGTGAACATTCAGTATGTAACAGTGTCAAAAGTGGGAGCCTGAGATCTCACTGCGGCCCTGCACTCCGTCAGGCTGACTGGAAGTTAAAGACTTACTCAAGTCCAAACCAAAACTGCTCTTGCCAGTAAGAATCAGCATCCTACACATGGAACTGAGAAAATGGCCTGCTCACTTAGAGAGCCGTGGGCCAAGACATTTCTTTATTTTAGACAGGGTCTCACAATGTAGCCCAGGCTCCTCTACTCTGAGACCCTCCTGCTCTGGTCTCCCAAGTGCTGGGATTACCAGTATGTGCTCCCAAGCCCAGCAAGGGCCAAGAAATCCCTAACCAAACAGGCCCAACATAGCAGGGGCTTGCCACCCTGTCTACCATCCTGCTCCTCACACTGCCATTTCCCACTGCTCCCACAGTAGGGAAAACTCCCACCAACCCAAGTGTAGCACTGAACAAATGCATACCACTTATAGCTTCCTGTGCGAAATACTTGACATCCATGTCTTCATCCTGACCTAACTTCTGCAGCACTGGTTTCACTTCCCCCTGCAAGGCACTGAAATGCAGAAGTAACTGTCAAAAGATGCCTGGTGGGACAGAAGTCCATTACAGTACAATCTGCTATGGAATTTGGGGTTTGGATCGATGGTCATTTTTTTATTTAAAATGAAAATACTTCTAAATACTCACAAATATGACATATACATCAAATAATTTCTAAAGAAGTTCTTGGTGAAATTCACTTTCAGACAGTGTTCTATATATACCCAGATCATAAATGTAAAAGTCAAACTGGACAGTCTCAAAACCAAGGGCTAAATTTTCTCTGAATAACCCAGATTCTAGGTAAAGTGAGAAAAGAAATCCCTTGGTTTATTTTACCTATTCCTCCCCACCATGAGGTGATACTTTCAAACCAAGAGCAGCACTGCAATCTTACTTGGTGTCTAGGATCGGTCCAATTTTCTGCAGTGACTTGGCCACATTGAAACGGACATTTGCTACCTGGTCCCCTGCCATTTTCAACACGATGGGCAACATTTGCTTAGTGGTTATTTCCTGACCACAGGCTTCAGACAGTGCCTAGAAAAATAAACAAGACGGCACATTGAAAACTTTCTTAATACTCCCCAATCTAAAGAAACAAACTAATATTTAAAGGGAAGGTAATTGACCAACTGAAAAATGTTTCCTGCTTGAGCATCTAAGGAACAGGAGGTGGCCCCAGAGATGAAGGCCTACGCCAAAACCTACACTACAACGGCAGCTTTAAAATACTGCAAGCTTTAACTATTCAGTTTTATCTTACTACGTGTGAGTTCATGGGGAGGGGATGGCAGTGGGAGATGAGAAGAGTGAGATCCACCAGCAGCATCTGGAGCTACAGAAGCTGTGAGCTACTTCACATGGGTGCTTGAGACTCAAACTCAGGTCCTCTGGATGATCAGGGGGGGCACACCTGTCCACTGAGCCATCTCTCCAGCTCCAGGTTTTTAAATCAACGTTTTCTCTGTTCTAATTATCCAAATTGATCAGTATACAAAATGCACCTCAAACAGAAGACAGTTCATTCAGAACTTAGAAATATACAGAGAATGATTCAATGCCTGAGCTTAGCAATAACACCATTATTAATACTTACATTAATGCAGAATAAAGTGGTCATTCTGTGCAAGTAATTAGGATCATTCGCCATCACTAACACTTTAGGGACGATGGTATTCTGGGCCCACTCTGTACCAAACTTCTGGACTAACTTCATGAGGTTGTTGGTGGCAGCTTCCCGAATGGCATAGACTGCAGCAGAGTCCAAGAGAACATCCTCAGTTGCTTGCTTTACACACCATCACATCACACAGACCCAAAATAAACTCTGCAAACCTAACATCACATACTTCATGATAATCAAGCTGAAGCCTACCCATTGCAGTTTAAAATGTCCATGTCCAAGGATGGCAGCACCCAGGTTTTTCTCCTAGCTACTGGTTTTTAATAAATACTTTATTTTAACAAAATGATTGTTCTTACCACAATGCCACTAACACAGGGTTCCATTGCCAAAGTCACCAGAGACTGAGCCTTGACCAAGACCTCAACTGCACTCAACTCTACTTGGCCAGAGGCCTACTATATTCCTGGCAACTCTCACTTCTGTTTTCAGAGGAATGCAAGCCTTTCCTGAGTTCTGCCAGTTTTCACTCCTTGTTTTGTCTGTGTGTCTGTCTTTCCCCTCAAGGTCAGTTGATCTGAAAGGTTTCTTTCAATATCTAATTCTGTCTATTCTCACCAACTTTGACTTGATAAATGAAGTGCCCCCACCACTCAGAAAAACAAAACCAGGAACTTTGGTTGAACTTCCTCCCTTTAGTCGACACTGCCCACTGTCAGGAAGGTAGCCTCCATGCCTTCCTCCTTCAGCTTCTCCAGACTGCTCACAGTGCTCCTCCAGCCATTTCACCCCCGAGGAGGGGATAGAGGGATGTTCCCAAAGAAACCTGTTCACTGTGTACCACTTAAAAGTGCAAAACATAATTTTTCTTCAAATTATAAAATTCTAAGCTAAAATACAAAAGCTGTGGGATGCCATGTGGTAGTGGTATACACCTTTGACCCCAGCACTCGGAAGGCAGAGGTAAATGGAGCTGAGTTTCAGGCCAGCCTGGTCTACAGAGCAAGTTCCGGGACAGCCAGGGCTAAACAGAGAAATCCTATCTCAATAAACAAAACAAAAAACAAAAAAAGATGCATTGGAAAGCCCACAGACAAGTAGACATTCTCAGCCACCATCCAGCCTCTGCATCAGGGAATTCTGAGTGTATGTATGGTGATACATACACTCCACCCCACCAGCTCCCAAGTTGGAAGAAAAAAAAGAGGGGCGATACTTAGGTTACATCTTGTAGAATATTGGACCTTAGAAGTCCTTCAAAATTTGAAAGACAAAAAAAAGCTTGTCTTAATCCAGAAGGCCAGCTTCCAAAGGAAACAATAAAAAGATCTGCTGGGAATGCCATGCACACTAATATTTGCCAAAAATAAACTTTTTGTTTGTTTGTTTGTTTGTTTGTTTTTTCGTGTTGTTTTTTTTTTTTTTCGAGACAAGGTTTCTCTGTGTTGTTTTGGTGCCTGTCCTGGATCTCACTCTGTAGATCAGGCTGGCCTCGAACTCACAGAGACCCACCTGCCTCTGCCTCCTAAGTGCTGGGATTAAAGGCGTGTGCCACCACCACCCGGCAAACATTTTTAAATAAATAATTTCTTAGACTGAGAGATGGCTCAGTGGTTAAGAAAATGCATACTGCTCTTTTGGAGGACTAGAGTTCAATTTCCAGCACCTAAGCCAGGGGCTCACAACTGTCTACAATCCTAGCTCCAGAGCAGGAGCTGATGCCCTCCCTGGCCTCTTAGAGAACCTGCAAGCACATGTGTAAGCTCACACACAGACACATACACACACATAATTTAAAATTTAAAAAAAAAAACTTAAAGCACCTTTCCTATGATTTATAAATGATCATTTTTCATCATTTTTTAAAAATGGTCATAAAAGCAACTTTTGAGAAAAAAGAAATAAAGAAGTCTTTACAACATAGTTTAAAAGCACCAGATGTATCCATACATATATATGCCCTAACAGATTGTGTGATACACAGCTTTACAACCTTCCTTTTTCACTTAGACATAGGATACAAATACGCTTTTAACAAAACCACCTACAAATGTAAGCAGACACAAATATTCTTACTCTTTCCTTAGTACCTAGTCACAAGTACCCACATAAATAACTCAGTACATAAAGTACTCACAGTATACTGGGGAACCACAATAGGATGCTTATCACACCCACCAAAACATGGACCCAAAGCTCATGGGACCCATCACAGGAGAACTTGAAGGCGCCCCCTGGAGTGGGGCTCAGGCCGTACTGAAGCTGTACATCTAGGACCCGACGGAGCTCCTCCCCATGTCAGCTACCAGGGAAACAAAGGAGTCTGTGCACACACACTGCCCTGGGGCATCACCGACAGGCACCTGGTCATCCCTGTCCAGTAAGACCATCCCTGAGCTCAAATCTCCAGCCCAGCAGCAGCAGGCAGAGGAAAGCCTTCCTCTCACCAATCGAAACCCTGGCTTTGTCCTAGGGACAGACATGTCCCCAGCTCCTACTGTACCTTTGCACATCACCTCAGAAAGCTCAAGTAGCCATTTTTTCCCACTCTATCCAGCCTAGTCGGCAGGTACCGAGGACACCAACGGCAGCAGGTCAGCTGCAAGCCCTGTCGCTGGAGGAAGTGTCCATCTAAGAGTCTGCAGCCCACAGTAGCAGGAGGTGGAAGAGGGCAGAGAGGTTACTCAGCACAGAAAATACATTTAAAACAGAAAGTAACCAGAAGTACAAATGTCAAATGTGTAGTCAGGCCGGGCATGGTGCTGCCTGCCTTTCCTCCCAGCACCCAGTAGACAGAGGCAGGACAACCTGGGCCACAGTAAGAAGTAAAATGTTTACGTCGTCAGAGGGAGCTAGCAGAACTTCAACAACTTCTCCTTAGCACTATGCTGTCAAGGCAAAGAGCATGCCCCACAGGACTCCTCTCCAAACGGCCATGTGTGAACATCACAGACACATGCAAAAGTCTGGACTTCCCACAATATCTGTTTTTAACTTGTCTACTCACCATGATCCACAAGCCAGGCCATACACAAAGAATTCAGCTTTTCATCAAAAAACTCCACACCCTATGGATAAGGAAGATTCCATTAATAAACATTTCCAAAGTTAGTACAAAATGCTCTATTACATTGCACAACAATTACCTAACGCTAAAGACACACTCCCAAACAAGCTGAAACACAAAAAAGCCATGAAAACAATGCTGTAGAGTTTATAACCTATGAAACTCTCTACTAGGTAGAAAGCAAAAACAAGGAGTGAGTGGTGAGGGCCCTGATAACAGGGGACAGGACCGAGCCATGCACAGGACTGAGAAGAGCAGGCAGGGTACCGCAGAAAAGCTGCCAAGCAAATGCAGATGCCATGGGAAAATGAATTACCCAGAAAAATGGCTGCTGAGAGGCTTGGTAATTGGCATCTCTCCTTTTCAGTTAACAGCAAGTCCTTGAGAATGAGGCAAGTTGACACCAAGATATCCCCAACAGAAGACAGCATTGCTAGAGCATGACAGAACGCAGCAGAGAAAACACACGCACCAGGTGTGCAAGGCAAAGGGTGGAAGTGACAGGCTGGAACCATCCTGACTCTCCAGCCTGCTGGTCATTCCACACCGGCTAGGACAAGCCCACCTCTGGCCGAGGGACATACACAGCACACAGGGGCACTCTGTGATGCACATGCTCCTGCTGCCTTCCTTCTGAAGTCTTTAGGCTTATTCTTCTGGTTCAAGTCTAAGAAATTCCTGACCAGTGACCAAGACCAATGGTCCTGTGATTGACACCAAACGGCTGCACCTTGCTGTGACCGATTCTGATAGGCACTTGACCTACAGCATCAGCTCTCAGATTCCGTTTTTATTCCAGGTAGAGGATTTTCCTCTAATCTCCTTCAGATATTTGGTGGTTTAACTTTGTATTTACTCATCAAGGCCTATAACCAGGCTGAATAGTCTTGAGAGGATTTTACAAATTGACTAACTTAACAAAACAAAGAAGTTTACACATAAAGAAAAACTAAGAATGTATAAACAGAAGTAGGAGAGATGGCTCAGTTATTAAGAGCACTTGAGACTCGAGTAGAAGGCCTGAGTTTGGTTCCGAGCACCCACATGGCAGCTCACAACTGTCTGTACCTCCAGTTCTAGAGGATCCAATGCCCTCTTCTGGACTCCACAGGTACCAGGCATGCATATGCTTCACATACATGTGCAAGAAAAACACTCACACACATAAAAGTAAGTCAACCTTTAAAAAAAGAAAATCAAAAGAACAGATATGCTAACAAGACAGGATGGTAAAACACAATGTCTGTCCATGACTGACGTATGTCATCCTAGGCAGAAAGGTATAAATCAGCCAAGACACCATCTGTCTTATTTCCACACTGCTCTGTATATTGCTGGCGGCCCTTGGAGACTTTCCAGGTCTGGTGGAGCTAAGGTTCAAAGAAATGGTACCTATAATCCACCTTCCTTCCAGACAGCTGTTTCATCCAGCAAACCCATTATTAGTCACTGCTGCTTTTCATTCCAGACAGTGGCACAGATCACTGAGAACAGAAAAGGACCCTCAACATTTAGAAGTGATGGTGGAGAAGTGTGGCAAGATGACTTCCCCTGGCACAGAGGTATGCTTGGCATTCACTCTGAGGAAGAGAGCACTTCAAATTTGATAAAAACACACTAGCATGGCCATCTACAAGATGCATGCTCAATATGAACTCCATTTGTTGTGATCTAAAAGGAATGGAAATAAGCCTTGGGGGTGGGGAACAACAAAGTATAGTAATATCAGCAGTAAACTGACATTACAAGCATTCTTAAAAACCACACTGGTTTTCCTTCATCCAACTAGTAAGAAATGCCAAGTGTCTAATTAACAACACACACTATGGGAGCCACTGGAAATCAAACAGCACACAGTTTCTGCCCTGAGAGCAATCACTTGTCCATCTCCCCAGTTACAGTTGACAACTCCCTAAGCCTTAGTCTAGGGGCTCCATGCAGTGAAGGCTATCGAGGTTCCCACTGTCTGCACCTATTGAGAAAGAAAGGGAAGCATGTGGCAATGAAGCTCCGCCTTGAATTTATAATTAGTCAAATTCATTAGAATAAAACTAATAATAAAAAATAATAATAAAACCCAAAGAATAGCAGACAGTGTGATAACAGGACTTTATCCAAAACAGCCACCATTATAAGCTCTTTGTGTGGTGGATCCTCAACTTCCTGTCATCAGGATGCAGGAAAATGCTCCTGAGTTCATTTTGCTTAGGACAGAGTCCAACAAAAAGCCAAACTGACTTATCCTAAAACCATGTTTTCTTCCACAGATCAGTTCTTAAGTCATACAGGTTTTAAATAATATAACATTTCTGTTACATGAATATATTCTACACCTTTATCACGAGGAGGGCAGCAAGATCAATGTTTCTAGAACACCATTCTATTAGGCCTTCCTTCACTACTGAAAATAAAATCCATCCTCCAGGCCACAGGAATTGACCTCGGTGCATCTAACTGAACCAGACCAGACTGACTGCCTAGCCTCCCACTCACCTGCTCCGCTCCATGATCTGACCGACCCCATTGTTCCCAGCCCGGGAACTCACCAGCTGGCCCGCCAGCAGCGGCATATACTCGATGATAGCCAGGCGGACCCTCCACTTGGCATCTCCTGCCAGCTCCACTATGGCCGGAAGGAGAGACTGCGAGAGCTGGCGAATTCCAACCACTTCATTTACACAATCCAGATTGGAGATGATATTCAAACGAACTTCAGGACACTGTAAGCACACAAACCCCGAGACGTGTGAAAATTAACTTCTTTGCCCAGCGCCCTCCTGGCATGAGGCATTGAATAAAAAGTACTAAATAAAATGTAGCACTGACTCAGGCTTAGAAAGGTGGCAGTCACAGAGCTGGGGCATGGCTCAGTGGTAAAACATTTGCCCGGTTTGCAGTAGTGACCAAAAGAGCTACAGGCAGAAGGAATCTTAAATGCTAAATACACAGATAATCCAAGACACAGTGCAACTGATCTTAACCAGAATGTCAGTAAAAGGCCTGTGCGATTTCCTGACTTTGTATGCCAGTATTAAAAGTTCATTAACGACTGGCAGGCAGGACGGCTCAACAGGAAAAGGTGCTTGCCTCACAAACCTGGCAACCTGGCTTTGATCCCCAAAATCCATGTAAAGGTGGATGGAGATCACTGACTCCACAGATAGCCTCTGAGCTCTGCATGTGCATGTGTGCACACGCACAATAAAGTTTTTTAGACTATTGATTAATAAATGAGCACAAAGTCTATGAGATGGTAAAAAGTCCAGGCCCTGGAATTAAATTCTATGTACTCAAATCTTAGATCGGCCACTGCTGGAAGACCTCAGACATCATCTCATCTGCCTGTGCCTCATTTCCTCATCGACATCTGGGAGTAATACAGGACCTAAGCCTGATGTGGCAACAAAGCACTTGGATCATGCCTGGCATTAATGTTTTAATTTTTCATTTGTGTCTATGTATTGTCTGTGTAATGTGTACGTCTACCCATGTATGTGGGTGCCCACAAAGGCCAGAAGAGGAAGTCGGATCCTCTAGAGCTGGAGCTACAGGTAGTTGTGGGCCACTCAAATGTGGATGCTAAGATTCGAACCCTGGTCCTCTACAAGCAGCAGGCCTCTTAACTGCTGAGCCATTGCTCCAGCCCCTAAAGGTTAATATCTGATGCTGTATTTTACACTTAAGTAAAAGATAGTGTTTAGGCAAAGACATATTAGTTTTAAAAATAAGGAGCCAGTGACTATAATATAAAAAATTTAAAAGATAGCTATTTCTGGGGTGGTTTTAGGACTTATTTATTTTATATGCATGAGTGTTTTGCCTGAATGTAGGTTTGTGTACCGTGTGTGTCTGGTGCCTGCAGAGGTTCGAAGAAGGCATCGGATCCCCTGGAACAGAGTTGTGAGCTGTCTGTCATGTGGGTACTGGAAACCAAACCCAAGTCCTCTGAAACAGTCAGTGCATTTGACTCCTGAGCCACCTCTCCAGCCCCTAGTTTTTAGTGTGTCTGGTTGGTTTATGTTTTTTGATTCAGGGTTTTGCAGTATAGTCCTGGCTATCCTGGAACTTGCTCTGTAAACCAGGCTGGCCTAGAACTCAGAGTTATGCCTGCCTCTGCCTCCCTAGTGCTGGAATTAAAGGCAAGAGCCACCACACCCAACTATGCTTTTTGTTTTTGTTTTTGTTTTTTTTTTTTAATAAGTCCTTGTGCCCATTTTTTGGGAAACCTGTAAACCTGTAACCCTATACTCAAACAGAAGGACTGTCAAATATCTAAATTATTAATTATTTTCCCCCCACCTATACACTTTAGGTCCTATTTTAGTAAAATCACCCAAATCACATCAAATCAGTAAGATCAAAGCCAAAGAATTCCTAGCCAGACTCACCTCATCCTTTAATTGAGCTAAAAAAAGAGGCAGAAGATGTTCAATGGTGTTCTCTTTGCCCAAAATTGTAGATAATCCCATAATTACAGAAGCTAGAGCTGACTTGACATGTTGATTGGTATCAGACACTAATTCCTAAAACAGAATAAAAATTGAAGACAACAAAAGCCTCCATACCGCCTCCCAAGGAGCCAACAGCAACACTAGTCACACAGTAGCTGACCCAGACGCCTCCGGGGTAACGAACCTCAGCACCCACAGCAGTGTACAATTGTGACTTGCACAAATCAACTATGATACTGCCACAAATATTATGTGTTTGACTTCTTTATGCCTCATCCTTGTTAAAATGCTAAGAGCTTCACACACAGAGTAAACAAATAAAATGAAGTCACGTTCACCTTTATATAGGGCAGGATTTGATTCATAATTATGGTCTCTCTTCCTTCGGTGGGCAGGTTTTCACAAAGTTCTGAAATAAACAAACAATGCAATGCTGCCTAGGAGCCAAACAAAGTTGATCAGATCTTTCCAACAGTTCAAGTTAAATCACATGTCTAAGCAAATAAACGCTAATGGAGAAAATTAGCCTGCTTCTCATAGCATGGTCTAAATGCCCTGTGTGAGAAACTAAAGGAGCAAGAAGACACAGTGGGTGTCTAATGTGAACTATGGAATGGCAGCTGCACGCTGACATCATCTCTGTCAGCAACATCTTATAACTTCAAAGTCCGCCAAACTTCCGAACATGGCAAACGCATCAATGTCGATGGAAATGCTGCTACACAGACTGATTTTTTTTTTTTCTGATTTATACATTTTGGGGCCTATTTCAGTAAAAACACCAAGCCAAAATCACATCAGATCAATGACGTCAAAGTCAAAGGAGTTGCAGGCAGACCCACCTTTCACTTTGTGGGCAGCGGCCGCTCGGACCTCAGCTTCACAGTCTTTAAGGAGGCTCTGGAAGGCGGGGATGAGGTCATTGAGCGTGATTTTAGGGCCCACCGCTTTCTGGAGCTAGAAAACAATTTATACAGGTTTAATGTATACTGTAAAAAGAGTTACTAAAAACAAAATAGTACAATCTTCAAATGTATACTGTAGCCACATCAGGCTGGCAGGCTTGCATGGCGAACACTTTACCCTCTGAGCCGTATGACTGACCCCAAAATGGAAAGATTAATTGTCTCCTTTTTTAAATTTGTGATGCTATATTCAAAACTATTCAACAGAATTTATAAGCTGTGTCTGACAGAAAATCTGTGGGGCAAATGCCTGTAGGTTTTGAATACTTGAAATGCCAGTGCATTTACCTCTGAAAACTTGTCAGCCACCATATAGCGAACCCGCCAAGATTTATCTTCTGCTGCTTGCCGGAGTGTAGGCATGACCAAGGCCTCAAGGTCATCCTGAGACAGTAACTGGGCAATACTGACACAAGCTTCCACAGCTAGCAGGCGTACAGAATCCTAAAGGAAAAACATTCTGTTCGGTCAGTTTGCTGAAATAGGGCACACTGAGTGTAGTGTGAGGCGATGCTGTCACAGGTACTGTTTAAGAAAGAGGGAAAGAAAACCACTGTGCTGGCTCATTTATGTCATCTAAGAGAGAACCTCAACTGAGAAGATGCCTCCATAAGAGCCAGCTGTAGGCAAGCCTCTAGGCCACTTTCTTAATTAATGATTCATAGGGAGGACCCAGTCCATTGTAGACAGACCCACCCCAGAGCTGGTGGTCCTGGGTTCTATAAGAAAGCAGGCTGAGCAAGTCATGTGAGGCACAAGCCAGTAAGTAGCACCCCTCTGTGGCCTCTGCATCAGCTCCTGCCTCCAGGTTCCTGCCCGGTTTGAGTTCCTGTTCTGGCTTCCTTCTGTGATGGACTACAATGTGGAAGTGTAAGCCACATAAACCCTTTCTTCCCCAACTTGTTTTCTGGTCATGGTACTTCATCACAGCAATAGAAACACTTGGATAACCTCCATTTATGATGGTGTGTCTTTAGGTCTTCAAATGGCTGAGTAACCTCTTCCTTGGCATGTGAAAGACATAAAAATGGCACTTTGTTCAAATTATCTTGACTGCAGCCAAATTTTTATTAAGTAAAATGAAAAAGATGTTCTAAGTGTTATTAGTGTATGTGACTAATGTGTGTGGAGGTCAGAGGACAACATCCTGGAGTCACATTTTCCACCTTTCCATGGGTTCTGAGCATTGAAATCAGGCACATGCTTTACCACTGGGACGTCTGATTGGCCTCAAAATATAAAGATTATTTTTTAATTTAATGCTATATTCAAAGCCTTATTATAGTAAGAAGTTGAAAATATACTTACATAAGTATTAATCACATATTTGAAGAGTTTAAAGGATAAGGGAGATCACTGTGAAAGCTATTTCCAACTACTTACTGGCCAGAACAGTAGCATGAGACAGAGTGTACAAAGGAAGACACAGAAATTCTGGGGGAAAAGTTAATAGCCAAATAACAATTGAATTGAAATGCTGAAACTCAAACGGAGAGAACCATGTCGAGTAAAACAGAGCAGAAGAAAACTGGAAAAGTAGGGAGACAACCTGCTTTTCCATATATAAGGCTGATCAATGCCAAATGGGACACAAGAATGTCTTCTGAGTAAGAGAAAACACAAAATTAAAGCTTAATTAGACATTAGGAGTTATGACTTCAGCCTTGGGAAAATCTATGAGCATCAAGGAGAAATGGAGCAAGAAATTTACTGTATATGTGATACAACAAAACACAAACACACACACAAATCCAACATAGCGTGCATGTGAGTGTGTGTGGGGGCACAAGCGCGCACACACAAGTCCAACATAGCACACATGCACCCTCATCACTTGCCCGGTTTATCACCTAACTGGCCTTCTCTTTCTATCCTTATCCCTCCTACAACTGTGTTTCCACCCATAAGCGAGAATGACCTTTCAAAACTGTAAATTACATGTCACACCTCTTCTCCAGATCTAGGCATAGTCCCACTGCATCTAGAGAAGAAAATCCAAAACCGCAGTCAGCAGTGGGCCAACGATGCTCCCACCCCTTCCTTCTTCTCCACTTTCATGCTTACTGGACTCGTCCAACCACCATGTTCCAATGTTGGCCTTTCCCTACTTCGTGTCCTCTCTTTACTGGGCTCTTATGCTCCTGAAAGGAGCAGAGACAGTGTTTTCCTCTCATCTGTCACTTCTTCAGAGCATTCTGCTGACCAGCAATCAGTGTCCCACCATGTTACAGTATTTTCAAAACATTTTTGCCTGATTTTTATCATGTTTCTTTTTCTCCATTAAAATATAAGTTCCATAAGAGCAGGGTTCCTGTATGCCCTTAACACTACAACTGTCCCTCACATAAGGAGGTACTCTATGTATGCACTCAATAAATGTTTCTGTCAATGAGTAAGCCATGAGCAGATCTTCTACTCAGGTCAGAGAAGGCACAATGTATACATATTTCAATATTTTTTTGAGCACCTACGAGTGGGTGAGTTTCATGTCCATTGGTTTCCATAGTCTGTATCTGCTTCAGCACTACAGGAGCAAAGTTCAACAACTACAACACGGATATTATGACCCACAGAGCCAAAAATATTTCCTGGCTGGTCCTCACCAGAAAGTCTGCAAATCCCTGGTCTACTATTTTGCAGGAAGGACAGAAGATAAAAGAAAACATCAAATGATGCCATGGAAAGTATAACCAGCTACATTCCAGACAAGGGTTCTAAACTTGTCCTGCTCCAACAGGGAAACCACCATGAATGTGTGATATCTGCATGCTTGAAATGGTGCCAATGTTCAAATGATAAGACTTAGAAACTTGGGGCTGAAGCCGATGTACATTCAAACCCAACTTCACCACTAGCTACATACAGCCTTGAACAAGTGTCATAAACTAGCTGGGTCTCCATTTCCTTGAGTATCTGTGCCATGAGCTGTTAGGAGAACCTAATTTCATAATACATGTAGCCACTTAAAACAGGCTGAGAGATATAGTCAGTCCATGTCCATGGTTCCCCCACATCAATGGATTCAGCCAACCATGGATCAAAATATTTGGGAAAATTGTTTTATCTGTACTAAACACATACAGACTGTTTTCCTGTCACTATTCCCTAAAGAAAGTAGTATACTAACTATATACAGATCATTTACACTATAATTTTATTATTATTGACTGTGTATGTGAGTGTGTGGGTACACGCATACCACAGCACATACATGGAAGTCAGAGAGCAATCTTGGGGATTTGGTCCTTGCCTTCCACCTTGCTGAGGCAGGGTTGCTCTTGTTTCTGCTGCTGCACTGTACACCCCAGGCTGGCCGGCCCACGTTTTTCAGGGTGACTCTCTTGTCCCCATAGGAGTGCTGGGATTGCAGAGTGTGCCACCACATCTAGCTCTGATGGGTTCTAGGGACCAGACACAGGGCCCCAGGTCTGGGCAGCTATCACCTTCACAGGTTGAACCATCTCCCCAGGCCTGGTTCATGCTGTATGAGATACTGCAAGTGGTCTAAAGGTGACTCAGAATAAGTACACAAGAGGGTGTGTACAAGCAGTGGCCAATACCCCCCATTTTACATATGGAAACAGCTCTACAGACGACCCTGCAACTTTCCCCACCCTCATACTGAGAAACAACTGTACTAAGTCTTTTTTCTCATTTCTACACCAAAGAAAGCAGACCCTGGGATCTAAGATCGCCATTGTGTGTGGTAATACCACACACTAGTGCAGAATGGACAAAGTCAGGATTGCAGAAGTGCTTCCTCTGCATAGCACAATACAGCCCACAAATCTGAAAGACCCATCCCTGATGCAGTCCTGGGCTTCCTAGTTAAAGAACTCAATTCACCCTGACCCCTCCTAACAGCTGCTACTGTCAAGAAAGTGGGGCCTAGTTCAGAAACAAACACACAAGCATCAGTATGACACCAGGTCAGACCTGAGTGCTGACTCTGCAAAAAGACCCTACAGTAGAGTCAAAACTCCCCCAATAAATGTGTTTTCCATTATTAAAGAGCATATCTGTGTCTCCTAAATCTAAAGCCTCAAGTTACCTGTTCATCTGAAGCTAGATTCGTGAACAATGGAACAATTTCAGTTTTCACACTGTCTAACTCCAAAACTTTGGCAAATTCACCCAATTTGGAAGCAGCAGCACGTCGCACCATTGGTGTGTCATCTGAGCACAGGGAACGGAAGTGCCTGCAGTGTGAAATAAGGTATTTCCTGTCAAACACTTGGTTAAACATGCCCCAATACCAAGAGATGGCCTTTGGAGCCTTTCCCTTACATACATCAATGACTAGGTTTCTACTCACAGATGTAAAGAAAGGACCAGGAAACTCAGTCAGGAAAGTGCCTGCCTCCCAAGTGAAGCCCACTCAGTCCCCAGGACCTACATAAATAGCTCAGCACTGCTGGGGGATATCTTTTTGTTCACTGTGAATACATGTTGCTCCCATTGGTTAATAATAAGCTGCTTTATATGTGTTGCTATGACTGGTTAATAAAGAAGCTGCTCTGGCCTATGGCGAGTCAGGTTATAGCCAGGCAGGAAATCCGAGAGAGAGGCAGGAAGAAGAAAGGCAGAGGCAGGGGAGACGCCAGCTGCCGCCTAAAGAACAGCAAGATGCCAGCAGACTGGTAATGTGGCAACATACAGATTAATAGAAATGGGTTAGGTTATAAGAGCTAGCTAGCAGGAAACCTGCCATAATTACCATAGCATGCAATTGGTAATTAGTATTAAGCCTCTGAATGTTTATTTAATAAGCGGCTCAGGAACTGTGGGGCCAGGTGGGACCAAGGGGCTGGGTGGGACCCGAGAAATCTCCCGGCTCCACAGCATAGTGGCAGTGCCTATAACCTCAGAGGTGGCAAGGTGGGAGGCAGAGATGGGCGGATCCCAGGGAGCTCGAAGGCCGGGTAAGCTAGCCTATGTGATGAAGTTCCAGGCCAATGAGAAACCCTGTCTCATAGAAAAGGAGGAAGACACCTGAGGAACATCACCAGAGGTTGCCACATGAAATACTCCTGCACACACACGCACAGACACACACGCGCGCGCACACACACACACACACACACACACACTAAGTAAAGTATAAAGTAAAGTATATTCAACTACATGAAAAAGCATCAGCAATCCCACCAGGCTAGTCTAATGGCAACAAAGTACTGTGTAAACTCCAGCTATAAGTCCCCAATAATCGCAGACACTAAAAAATACTGTCTCTTACTGTCGAATTTCTGCCTTGACAGCATTGGAAGCTCTGGGATAGCAAACGCTGAACAAACCACATGCAGATGTACGAGAGGTGAACCAATCCCCACTTGCCAGGCGTTTCACCAGAGGTACAAAATGAGCTTCGAGCGCAACGGGAGTGTGCTCCTGAGAGATCTGCCTCAGGGACTCCACAGCCTTGTCTCGAACGACAGTCTCCTCCACAGTAGCCAAGCTTTCCAAAGGAGGCTGCAGAGATCAAAAAGGAAAACCAGAGATGACAACTTATTAAATCAGGTTAGACACAGATTGACACCTTTTATGTGACTGAAGAGAAACGGTACATGTAACCAGAATGTTAACTACATCATACCAAATGGTTACTTTCAGTTCTCACAGTGATAACATATGGTGTGGCCAACCTGAAGACACGACTTCTGCAGAAAAGCCAAGATCGCATGTCCCAGATGGCAATCCCCAGATGGTGTCTACAAATGACACAGTCGAAGAGACTTGACACGGTTATCACTATTACTGGGAGCTGACGTTAAATGAAATGCAGCCACATTCAGACAGTAGTGTGCATATTTCCTTAAGAACAAGTCCCAAACTACGGCCAACTGTGGGTGCCACAACTGCGTGGTAATTTCTGGTCAGACTACAGAGTCCATTTCCTTTTGTGCACCGTTCTATCATTCTTGGAGGGGCAAGCAGTCCTGTCCATGAGAGTTCAACAGCATCAACTTATGCAACCAATAAAAAGCTGAGTCAACACCAGGTTTTTTTTGTTTTGTTTTCAAAATACATTCAGAATCTTCCCAAGAGCAAAGTAGGAGTTTCAGAAAGAACAGTCAAATAATAAATGCAAATAAATGGGGGAGATCTTGCAGCTATAGAGACACAAAAGACGGAGAGGTTCAAGGTCTGACCCTCGTCGGTAACTGAATGTGCCGTGGCCTGGTAGACGTGGCGATGGGCTGCTTCTCTGAACCTCTAGCTCCTTTCTCAATGTGCATGTGATCCCAGTAAATTCAGCATAAGGCACAGCTGCAGAAATCAGAACAAAACTCCACAGTAGAACTGACCAAGAGTGAAGGTCAAGACCTCAGGGAAGAAGTGTGCCTGCCCAACATGGTTCAAAAGGTAGACACCACTCATGATCTGTCCCCTGCCCACCGTGACTTTCCTCTCACTACTACAGAAGAAGGTCAAACTCCGGAGAGTGGCTTGTGAGCAGTCCCTTCATTTGAACTCTGCCCGCTTTCCATTGTCCTTTTCTTGGCCCTCATGACCACTCCTGTTTACTTTCACTCCGATTTTTTATACACTAGCAGCTTTGAACCCCAACAGTTTCACAGCTGTAAGCCTATGAAACTCAGTCTTTCTGTAATGACTACTGTTATGTTGTAGCGCTGAGGATCCAGGAGGAACAAGCACACAGGATGCCTCGCTCTAAAGGAGTCCACATCCCAGTGGTGGAATGGGACAAGAACAGGCTGCAGGGCAAGGGGTTGATCATGAGGCCACTGCAATGGGGGCCGCGGAAGACCTCTCTCATACCAAATGCAACTGTCTGACTTACGAGGAGTCAGCGACAGAAAACTCTAAACAGCATCTCTCTAGAGATGACACCGACAGACAATGTCTCAAGGAAATATGAGCCGGGTTTACAATGAACAGAAAGACCAGTGTGTGTGGAGTGAATTAGCAAGAGGAACACAGTGTATACATTATGAGTTTTTCACTGCTGTGAACAAAAATAGCTAACAGAAACAAAGGATTTATTCTGATTCACAATTTCTAGAGTTCAGTTGATGTTTGCCTGGCCCCGTGAGTCTCAGCAGAACAACACAGTAGTAATAAAGTGTGGCAGCAGAGCTTCTCTGCCTTCCTGCAAAGAAGCAGAGTCCAAGGACAGAGGCAAAATACCCTCCAGAAGCTGCCCCCAGCATCCTACCTCTACCGCTAGATCTCACTTCCCAAAGTTTCCAGAAACTCTCAAAATAATGCCACTAGCTGGGGACCAAGTGCTCAGCACACGAGTGACCTTCTAAGACTGACTGGGATAGATGCAAAGTCTGCAGGACTAATGGCTCAGATGTGAGGAAGGAGGGAAGGAAGACTGAAGAACGCCTTCTAGTGCTGGGCTGCAGCTCAGTGAACGAGAACATACCCAGGAAGCAAAGGCCTGGCTTCAATCTCTAGCACCACTGAAAACAGCAGCTACCTTCTCGGTTGCGCTTGTATAGCTGGGTGGCAGGTTGACCCAACTAAAAAGAGACTTATTTTGAGGGGAAAATGACAGCCCATAACTAACTGTTGATTTCTACAAGTTTCGACTTATCTAATGTCCATCAATGTCTGGAATTCTACGGAAGGGTTCATGGTAGAGCTAGGAACCATGGGAGCCAGCATCATCTATAGAATATTGAAAGCCCTGAAACAGACAGTCCTGCCTTGTACAGCCAGTCAGTTTCTAGTCATCCTTTAAGGCCTAGTTCATCTGCATGGTAGGGCACACCTTTAATCTCCATACTCTGGAAGCAGAGGCAGGAGGATCTCTATGAGTTCGAAGCCAGCCTGGTCTATATAGCGTTTCAAGCCAGTGAAGGCTACACAGCAAGCCTTGTCTCAAAAAATACAAACAAAAGAAGAAAGAAAACTAAATTAAGTTCCCTTCCTCCACATCTCTAACAAGTCTACAGAGGCAGAAAAAAAGTTCTTATATTCAGCTGATAAAAATAAGAGCTAAGTTGCTAAGGCAGCGGTGGTGCACACCTTTAATCCCAGCACTCAGGAGGCAGAGCCAGGTGGATCTCTGCGAGTTCGAGGCCAGCTTGGGCTACAGAGAAACCCTGTCTCGAAAAACCAAAAAAAAAAAAAAAAAAAAAGAGCTAAGCTAAAGTGCCTACATTATTCATTCACTCAACATTATTACTACCTGCCCATAAAAAGATTTGCATAAAAAATGTTGCAGTGTGTCTATCACCAGATAATAAAGACACAGTTGCTCCTACAGGGTTCCAGGGGGAGGGTAGGCCATAGATCAGTACTCACCAGCAGACAGTGGGCAAAGTCAGGACCTCCCACCAAACCGGTGAAATTTCCCAGCTGCTCGGCAAGAGCTAACAGCACCTCATCTTCATCATAAATTGTATCTGGAAAGAACAACAGTTGGTTAGCCCATGGGGACAGGTGCCACCGAGCTGACACTCATACCAATGCTGCAACTACAATCTTAAAAGCATTTTCTTCCTTGTCTAAATCAGAATTCTTCCTGAATGTTTCACAGAATTATTAAGACATTCATATCCCACGTCAACTACCTTCCCATTAGTTACAGGGCTTATGTTTGAGTATGTCTGGCGTAATATTTCTATATACCTTGCAGAAGGCACCTGCTCCATCTAGTACTTGTTGCTACGCTAGGTAACAAATTTAAAAAAAAAAGGAAATAGTTTGAAAGCCAATGGAAAATGGAACGTGTTTCTTTAAAGGACACATACCTGTAAGGAAAGGCAGCAGTTCAGTTCGAGTCCTTTCCACCCCGAGTGCTAGAGCAATAGTCGATAACTTCTTAATACTGTTGAGACGGAGCTTTAAAAATGAAGTGGGAAGACGAAAGCAAAGAGATGGTTGCAATTCAGGTCAAAAGAAGCAGATAGGTGAGACACTGGCAGAGCGTATATATAACGAGGATGAGACTTTCACTTAGATCTTATTCCTAAAATAACTCAAGGACCGTTTAACACGTCATTAGCCAGAGGCTATCCTGGGGAGAACACTGAAGGGCCCGGAAAGAAATGAATGAATGAAAACACCCGGGCAGTGAGAGATCCTGAAAAGAGAGAACTCTGGACGGAAGGAAGCAGGTGAAACGGTTAAACACGACTCCTCCCTTTTCAGAGAAAAGTTCCATCACAACTGATGCACCACTCATCTGGGTTCATCAGCTGTGGCGCTCTTCCCACCCAACCAGCCGGGCCAGTTTGCCAGCCGAGGCAGACACTCCACGGCACTTCAAAGGGACCCTGGTCCCCGGGCCGCTCCTCCGCTCTCGGGCGGCCCCGCAACCCACCGCGGCTCGTCCACCCGAGGCGGGAACTGGTTGCCCGCCCCACCGCCGGAGGAGCCGGGAGCCACCGCCCCGGAAGGCTGAGGTAGGGCTGCCGGGAGCTGAGGCCGACCACCGCGGAGCCGCCGCCGCCGTCCCCGGTCCCGTACGAAGCGCTGAATACGGACGGCTCTGCCGTCCCCGGGGCCGCCCCCATGGCTGGGCCGGCCTTCCCGCTTCCCTACCCTGTACGCCTCCGAGCTCGCCCCGGCTCCCCAGCCCCAGCCTAGTACCTGCACGTCCTCATTGCGGAGCTCGTCGATTAAAACCGCGATCGGGTAGAGCGAATCGTCTCCATCTCCGCCCGCTGCCCCTGGACCGGCCCCGGGCCCCGCTGCGCCCGCCATGTTCTTCCTCCTCTGGCTAGTCGCCGCCGTACGCCCTGCGCCCCGGCCACGCCCCGAGCCCCGGCCACGCCCCGCACCCAGGCCACGCCCCGCACCCAGGCCACGCCCCGCACCCAGGCAGGCGGGGCTAAATGCAATCCGCCCGCTCTGGGGAAGCGAAGGAGTCGAGTTTTCAGCCTGCGCGCGGAGGCTCTGGCCTGAGCCCCATTGCTGGAACTTGGGGTCTGAACTCCAGAAGAAGGGCGGGCTGAGAAAGCCAATGGAACCCCTGCATCCTTTCCCCAGCCGAAAGAAACATGGGCGGGCATTCATCCTCTGCTCGCTGTGCTCCGAAGAAGAGGAGCCTTCCTGAGTGATGGGTGCCGAACCTCAGTAGAACTCCAGGACCATAGTCGGTACCCTAGGCCAGGAGGAAGAAGCTTTAGCACCTCCCCCAGACTTCATGCTGGCCTGGAGCCACTGGGTCTCAGCCCTGATTTCCCCCTGGGCGAGAAGCCTCCACACAACCCCTCCACCTCTTCCTCTGGCCTGTTTGCCAAAATCGTGGCTGGCTCCTGCTCCTTAAGACAAATAATGAGTGCGGTGAGAGAAAATGAAAAGTGCTGCCCAAACTCCCCAGTCAATATTTTTTCCACGCAAGCTGTTCAAAACATGCGGCTCTCTTGTTTTTGTGTTTCTTTTCAGTGTGGTACTGGAATGGCGCCTTCTGTTGTATTGTCTTCCTTTTTTTTAAACCGCTCTTTAGCAAGAAGCACAGCCACCAAGCTTAACTAGGCCCAGTTTTAATCTCCCCAGTTCGGTGGGGTGGAAACTGGCCTCCCTAGACCTCCAGAAGTCCTCCCAGAGGACCCCAAGAGGAGGTGGTCCTGGGCATTTTCTCACAGAACTTAATGGAAAGTTTTCATTGCCCTTTGAACTGCACAAAGTAACTTAAATGCCCTATCTTCTTATGTTTTAGACTGAGATGTAAGCAACTTAGATTGGTAGTTCTGTACGACTATCACAAGTTCTCAAATGACACTATTTTGTGCCTTAATGAATTGTCAAGTTATTAATAAATGCAATTTAGGAGGTGAAGATTTTTTTTTTCTTTTTTCTTTTGAAAACATGGGACTCCTAGCAGGAAACAAGAGATGGTTAGCCTTTAGTAGTCAAGGCTCGAAAACCAACAGACTTCAGCAGTTTGGGCTTTGGTTTTTTGGGTTTGGTTTTGTTTTGTTTTCAAATTGGGCCCGTGAATGTATGCTTGAAGGCTTTCATTTTCTTTTTATTTTGATAACTTTTAGGTTCGTATAAGGCACAATCTGGACTGCTGGGGTGGCTACTTCGTTTTTTAAGTTACAAAATGTGTGTGTGTGTGTGTATTGCACACATAAGCCACTGAACAAGCATGATCAGAAGACAACTTGCTGAGTGGGTTATCTCCTTTTACCAGCTGGGTTCCGGTAACTGAACTCAGGTTATCAGGTCTGGTGGCACACACAAAGTCCACTGAGCCATCGAGCTGGCCCCCAAGCACTCCTTTAACCAGCCCTGCCACATGACTTCAGCATCAGTTTCCACACAGCTTTTATTGTTCTGGGCTCATAAGAAATGAACAGAGGCCAGGCAGTGGTGGCACACGCCTTTAATCCCAGCCCTTGAGAGGCAGAGGCCGGAAGATCTCTGTAAGTTCGAGGCCAGCCTGGTCTACAGAGTGAGTTGCAGGACAGCCAGGGTTTATACAGAGAAACCATGTCTCTGAAAAAAAAAAAAAAAAAAAAAAAAAAAAAAAACGTAAATTAATTAAATTAAAAAATAAAAGTGGATCCAAGCCATGCTTAAGGGTGCATGCCTTTAATCCCAGCCTATTAAGATAGAGGCAGATGGATCTTTGTGAGTTTGAAGCCAGCCTGGTCTACATAGCAAGCCCCAGGTCAGCTGAGGTTACATAGTAAGACCCTGTCACACACACACACACACACACACACACACACACACACACACACACACAAAATGCACCCAGGTGCATGCTCATAATCCATTGCTTAGGAGGCAGAGGCAGGGGAGACATCGATAGCTCGAGGCCAGCCAGGGTTCACAGAGAGACCTTGATGGATCCAGCCTGGCATGGGAAGTTCAAGCCTGCAATCCTCCCTGCACTTGCCTGGCATGCAGAAGGCACTACTCCATCCCTAATACCCAGCAAAAGAGACAGAGGGCTAAGCTAAGAAGTCCTGACTTTCCCAATAGAAGATTTCTATTCCCTTAGCTAAACCGTGTTCAGCAATGAAGAAACAAGCACAGAGAGGAGTAGCCTAGTTGTTCCCATACCTCAACAGGCTAATAAAACTGGCGCACTGGCCTTAAGCTACCCTGCTTAAATGTCAGACATGATCTGCTCCACCAAGCACAATGAGGTGGAGGCCTAAGGAATAACTATGATTAAACATGATATCACAAGCTGAGGAAATAGAACCTAGAAAATTGCCTGGTTTGAGAGTTATCGAGGCCAGACTTCAATACCCACCTGTGTCTCTGACTCATGGTGACCTACCTCTCCCCAAGCCTCAGTCACACTCTCCACCCCCTCACCCCTGTAAAACGGAGCTAACCACCTGGTTCCTCCTCCAGTAACTGTGAGACTGTGAGAACAAAGCAGGTAATAAGGGCAGAGATGCTAATAAAGCCTCCAGTAAATGCATGAAAATGGGCCACAGCGGGGAGAAGCTGCTTCCAAAGGGGGCCAAGTCCAAAGGCGGGCTTTGAGGAAATATGATCTACTGCCCATCATCCAAGGGTTTTGTCATAAGTGTAGATTCCTGGGCCTGTGGATGTAGCTCAGCGATAGAATATGTGCTTTATATGCTCAAGGCTTTGGATTTAACCTACAGGCTGAAAGTTGAAAAGCTAGCTAGGGAGACAGTTCAGTGAGTAAGAGCACTTGGAACATAAACATGAGGTTCTGAGTTCAAATTGCCATTTAAAAGGCTTGATGGAGCTGTAATACCTGTAGCCCTGGTGCTGTGATAGGAAGACAGGAGTGCTTGGGGCTTGCTGCCTGCCAGCCTGGCCCTGGGTTGAGTGAGAGATGCTGGCTGTCTTAATGGAAGTGGTAGAGAATGATAGAGCAAGACACCCTCACACATGCCCCCTACGCACACACGCATGCATGCATGCATGCATGCACACTTTAAAAAGCATTTCATTTCATGCATCCCAGTACTCAGGAGACAGAGGCAAGTGGATCTCTGAGTTCCAGGCCAGCAAGGGCTATATAGTGACACCTTGTCTCGATATAAAATAAATAAATAAAATTGAAAAATCTTTTTAATGCAAATTCCTGGCCTCCACCTCAGCCTTACTGAGTCAGAGTAAGTCTCTAAAACTGGAGCCAGGCAACTTACAGGGCTCTCCAGAGACTCTAATGTGACTGATGTTTGAAACTCATTAAAAGGGTTTATCCAGAAAGACAATTACCAGGTCAAGCAACAGGCATGGGCTCAGAAAGGATCTCAAATCTTTGGAGGCCATCTCTGTCCAGAAAATGCAAACAACACCAACTGTTTACCAATAAGGAATTCTGTCCCTCCTGGCTATGGGTTTTGCCTGATTAGAAAGGTAAACCCTCTGTTGCTAGGTTGCTGGCAGGCAGCCAGGCTCTACCAATACAGCCTGTGGTACTGAACAACTTCCACACACACACCCTCTCCTTTCCAAGGCTGCCTCTAGCCTCCTCTCCACTTCCCACACACACCACAAGAAACTAATGACCAGGGAGCCCAGGGGGCAACAGCTGAGTCTAGGCTGAGGATTGAAGGAAGCCTCTGAGACAAGGCTGTCTTAGCACAGAGCCAGAGCTGACGCCCACACAGCAGTTCACTCATCCAGTGTGAATTGAGAGAAGACAAGGCTAGGCTTGCCCAGTTCCGTACAATAACGCAGCAAGAATATGATCACACAGCCTGGTGAAATCAACAGCCATCACGGCCCTCTGTGCCACAGAAAAAAGGACCAATCCTAAGGAAATCTGAACATCGCCATCCTCAATAGGCTTTTTGCCTGTTCCTCACAGACACAGGTTTACAAACAGGCACAATGGCAAAGGAGGGTCCGTCCCATCCAGTCACTCAAAAAGGCTAGCACAGAGGGAGACCTGTAGGTTACAGCACTCCTAGACTTCTGACCCACTACCACCACCAGCAAGAGAGGGGTGAATGGCTCAGTTCATGAAATGAGACACACAGGTGCCTTCCCAATACAGCCATCGCTCGGCACGAACCAAGGGCTTGGTTGCAGACACACCCCTGTGCCAAAATCCAACGATGTTCAAGGCACTTCTATAAAATGGTTTGGTCCCTGTGTATAGTCTGCACCCAGCCATGTGTTTTAAACATCTCCAGATCATTTCACCTAACAGGTCCATGCTTTTTTTTAGGGATATTTAGGGATAAAGACAAGGAGAGAAGTCTGCTCATAGTTAGTAAACTTTCATTTGGATCTATGAACACGGATCTGCATCTTCATTTAGCCAGATGACAGTGTAAACTGACTCCCAGGCTCATGCTCAATTCATTATGATGTAGCAGTCACCACGGTGGCACTCATGACATCTTACATTTATATTTATTCAAACACTGTCTCATTCTAAGGAACTCACATATTTCATATCAATCTTTTCACCTTCTTTCCCTCTTTTTTCTTTGTGTCAGATTTCTCCCCCACCCCCGTCTATGGATGGCGATACTCCAAACAGTGAGACAAGGCTTTAGCTGAGGTCACACAGCAGTGAAAGGAAGCTATAGCACTCAGAAGCATGACCAGGGCTATTTCCCCCCTCATCCCCTCAGCAGCTAGGGTAAAAGCATTACCTGAATTCTTTTTTTTTTTTTTTTTTTTTTTTTTTGAGCTGAGGCCTGAACCCAGGGCCTTGCACTTGCTAGGCAAGCACTCTACCACTGAGTTAAATCCCCAACCCCTACCTGAATTCTTGGCAAGAGCAAATCAGAGAACTGGCCTCATCAGTCTGGTTCAGAATACTGCATCCGACTGTTGAG